ACCTTAATACACGAACAAGAGGGCCACACACTTTAAGCGTAAAGATAACATTATTCCAAAATGTGGGCATTATGATTGTCTCCCCTATTCTTTTCCCTTTTACTTCTTTTATTCATTTGCTATCATTTCATTCCTTTGAGTTAAATAAATATCTCAAATTCTTCTTTTGTTTGTATATACTCCGCAATGTGAGAAAGCAAAAACCCATTTTGCTAGCCTAATCAATTCTCTTTGATTTGTGAACTTTCTTATCAGACATAAAATATATTTTGTGCTTTTACTATATGCTCTTGCAAATTGTTAAATATCATTTTCATAACAATATTTTAAAAGCAACTAAAAGTGAAAATATAAATTAGTCTTTGGTTATGACATATTTCTATATGACATTTGACATGACAAATTCCACATGTCAATTATTATTATTTTTTTTGTTTTGTTGACATTTGTAATATAAGAATGTCACATAACCCATAATTGTGCTATATGGTACAAACTAATGGTAGGTGGCATGTATTTTGCAACATTTATGGTCATTAAACTTATCATATATTTTGCCATGCATGTGTTATAAATTTGCCTCATGGTGTATATTTTATCATATGCCACACTTTTTACCATATGGCATACATTTTGTCATGTATATTTTGCCACATGTCACAAATTTTGACATATGATATATATTTTATTATGTGTTATGAAAGGTTTCAAATGTCACAAAATTTGTTATGTGGCATATATTTTATCATGTGAATGCTTTATTGTGTTTATATCACATGTGGTAAAACTGCAAACATTTATTCCTTGTTGCATTTTATAAAAAATATATTTGTCCCAAAATGTATAGCATAAATACAAAGTAATTTATATTGATTTTGTGTTTTTAATTTTCTTTTTGTTGTAAATTTGCATGGCTTTAAAAAAATACTTTTGAAACACACTTAACCAAACATCAAGCTTTTTTTTTTTATTGTCGAATCACAAAAACACATCTAAAAAATCTTATCCCTACATTTAAAGGGCAATTCTACCCTTACTGTTTAGCTAATAGACTAACTCAACCCTTACTATTTAAATTTAATTATTGTCTTAAACCAACCTACTATTTCTAACAATTTCAACCATCGTTAAATTGTAACATAAAGGATGAAATATTCATTTTGCCCTTAAGTTAAGAGAAAAGCTATGAGAGAGACTACCAACCGATCTCTACCATCAACGACAACAATGAATACGATCCCAAAATCATGTCCTTGAATCTGAATGACGACAATCATGAAAACGAAGAGGAATCGCTTCCACCATCTCAGAATCACGTCCTTGTCACCAAATAAGACAACAGTCGTCCATCAACTGAAAAGCATACGAGTCTTGTTGCAAACGAATGAAGAAAAGAAAGTAAATTTCTGAATTTGGCAGTTTTAAGACTGACTCGACAAATCCAGCCAAGGAATCACCAGTGTGGAGACTGTAATAGTGACCGTAATAGTCCCGTTCATAGGCGATGATTTTTACCTAACTTACAAAAGATGGACAAAGGGTAATATTAGGTTTTAAAAAATTTTATATGTCACATGGTGTCACATGTGTATGGATTTTGATGGAACATTAACAAAAGCTAACGGTAGGGGTAGAGGAAGTCAATTGTCAAAAACAGTAGGGGTGGTTTAAGACAATAATTAAATAGTAAGAGTATAATTATTCAATTAGCTAAACAATAAGGGTAGTTTAAGAAATTTGCCCTTCTTTAAATGTATACTACTACGTTAAACTCAAAGACAATCAATCACAATCATAATGGCTCACATATAGTACATAGTCAAAGGGTTCTCTTAAGAATATATGCAATAAAATAAGCATTAAACCCATGCCACTTTGCTTACAAATATATATTTTATTGGATTAAAACATTCAAACATAATTACTTCCAATCTATGACAACCTTGCCCATAAATTAGCAATTTTCCCCTTAAAAAACAAAATTTGCAATTTTTTCCTCCCCCAAAATAACACCACTACAAATCCCACTTCAATCCCTCAATGATGTTTAACCCAAGTTTTGAATATCCCTCCTTACAACAAAGTAGTTTCTCTTTTATTATTTTATCCTATAAAATAACTCCTCAACTAAATAAACATAGAAAACAATAAAAAAATGGTTGGTAATCAATTTTTCAAAATATGAAATAAACTATGAATAGGACTTTGTACATTTAAATTAAAATTTACCCATTTAATCAAATAAAATAATAAGCATCGAAAATCAATGTCATTAATGAACCTATTCATTAATCAAAGAACTACATATATAAAGAAAAGATTCAATAAGGTTGGAGCTAAGATGCCAATATTAATGTTTAGTGCTATAAAACCCCAACAAAAAGAGTCATTTAGTTCCATTGCTATTTATTTATTAAATGTTTTGTACGATATCTTCATTGAAAAACAAGAAAACTATTGAAAATTATATTTTAACATTTTTTGACAACTAATCACCATTAACACCATTAGGCGCTACATAAGTTTTATAGTGTAAAAATGCCTAAGCATTGAGGGGCATCAAATAGGCATTTTCCCCAACAAATAATTTTCACACAACATGAGAAAAAGTATTTCTTTGATAAATGGCTTAAACAAACATCTTTTAAAACTCTATTGGGGAAATACCCATGTAGCACTAAGTTGGCATTGTGTTTTAGATAAATGACAATTGAACCAAACACAATCAAAACTATAATAGCTATTATTCAAAACGATCGATTTGTGTATAAACTTATGCATATCAGTATCAAACAAAAGCAACAACATATTTGCAAAACAAAGGAAAAAAACTAGGAAGAAGGAACTAAGCATATAAATAAATTCGTATACATTACTATGAAAGAAGGAAAATTGGAGACAAACATTAAACAAACTATACATAGATAGCAAACATTTAGCAAAATATAACAACAACAACAAGAAAAAGAAGAAGAACAACAACAACAACAACAACAATAACAATAACAATAATAGTGTACGTGAGAAGAAGTCTAGAAGAAAATATGTTTTTGCAACAAATGACGAAAGATATATAAAAGACAAAAGTTATGTTGGTTACTAAGAAGACCATTAAACACAACTAAACTCTACACCCCTCATGATCCCTAAACAAACAACTTAGTCTTATATACGTGAGAACCACTAGTCAAACAACTAAACCCCAATCAACATCCATGGGGATTAAAGGATAAACATTAAACCTCAACAAACACCCTTAATAACCACATGACAAACAATAGACACTGCGATTATCTAAGGAATCAATTGACCTCGCTAAATCAATTATAAAAACACTAAGATGTGCCTTGCACACACACGTATAGATAACAATTAGAAAATAAAGGACCCACATTGTTGACCCTTTTGGCTTAGTACCTATATAATAAACCAAACATGTGTTGACTTAGTTTGTACAATTTTTTATAATTCATACAAATATGCATTTATCCTATATAATTCATATATTGGGTACAACAATTGTAAATTTTGTAATCAATTGCCAACTTTTTTTTGTTTAAATTAACATATTAGACCTTGTCTTTGGATTGTGGGATATGTGTCATTGTAAATTTTGGGCCTAGATGAACCCTTTGTGTTAAAAGGGTTGGATTCTACATAAATAAGTAGAGCTTGGCTCTTAGTAGACATGAGGCAATCAAACATAATTGTAGGTTGTAGCTAGTAGTTTGTGAACTCAAGCTAAATAGGACAAAGCTGAGCACAACCTACTTATTTGCACCATGACTTAATTCATACTGATCTAATAATCTGAGACAATTTATGCTATATCACTAATGTGAGAGATATGAGATTTTAGAATTACAATGGGTTTTCACCAAGGTTCAATATTTAACCCTCATTTGTTTGCATTAATCATAGATGAATTAATTGTACACGTTTAAGAGGATGTCATATGGTGCATGTTATTTGCCAATGACATGTTTTTAAACGATTAAACTAAATAAATGATTAAATGCAAAATCAGGATTATGAACAAATGCATTGGAAGTAAGCGGTTTTAAAGCACACACACACACATGTAATATATGTTATGAAATTTTAGTAATAAAGAATGCAAACGATACACACTTGTCAGCACTCAATTTTTGCTCGGTCTATCGCTTAAACCTCAAATTTACCCCAAACACTTGATCAGACCCATCCAACCTCCTTAAAACATCCAAAAACCAAAAAATCCCAAATTTCACCCTGAAAGCCCTTAGATCCACCATTAAACTTGTTCGATACCTATCTGATAGCCCCAATTGACCCTTATTTACACCTCAACCACTAGATATGACCCCACCATCAGACCCAAGACCTCCCAAAACACCCACTTGTAAAATTTCATCCCAAAACACTTTTGCTTATTCCTTCATCACACCAAGATTCCATTTTAAGGCTCTAGATTGACTGGCTTCCAAATCCGCCTGATCCGAACCCATGTGACCCAATTTAACCTTACCAATCACATCAGACTACCCAAAAACCCTACCCTATGAAATTACACCCAAAACTACCTTCATTTATCCCTTCACCAAACATAGATTTCACTCCAAGGTTATAGATTAACCAAATCAAACCCATTCCAAATCTACTTGATTTGGGCCCATTTGGGCCAATCTGATCCCACCAATAAACCCAAAATGTCCTAAAACTCCACCCTGCAAAATATCAGCCAAAAATACCCTCATTTACCCATCCATCCAAAAAGATTCAATTTCGGTCAATTTCGCTACTCACTCATGCAAAACCCTTCTCTGCACCCAGCCCATCTCCATCTTCCACCTCTTGACCCGAAATCACTCACTAGTGGACCAGAACCTGGTTCAATCCCTGGACCCGGTTTAACCCAGGTTATCGAAAATTACCAAAACACCCTTTTCCCCGAAATTACAAAAATGCCCCTGCTTCTATATAAATTCAACCGAAACTCTATTCGCCCTAATCCAGGGGGAGACGACTGTGAAGTGATTTTTGCCATCTTCTTCCTTCGAACAAAGAAACCAGCGGCGCCTCTCCCGCTCCTGGTCATTCACTCTTGATCTCTCTCATTTTCTCTCTCCAGCGAAATAAATCAAGCAAGTACTGTTAATTGTCTTCCACCTCTCGACAGAGACGAGGAACCAGCGGCGACTCCCTCCCCTCTGGCATCTCTCCTCTTCCATTCCGTCATCCTCTGTGCTTCTCTCTCTTTCTCCCACGCTCATTTCCTTATTCCATTACCTCCCATCAACACCAACTGACTGAATCGACCGAAATCGTGCAAAGCAAGAAATCTACTGTTCATCGCCTTCCTTCTTCGACGAAAACAGAGAAGCAGCGACTGAACAGCTCGAACCAGTCGCAACAGCAAGACATCCCTCCCCATTCTGACTCAACTCCTTTAGCTCTCACCTCCTTCGTCTTCTATTCCGTTTCGTTCTCTGGCTAGAGGATACACAGTAGCAGATTGAATTAGAATACGGTACCCCTGTTGCATCATTTGAATTTCGGCCAACATCTCAACTCAGAGTTTTTCACCTACCTTCAGCGTCAGTCGCTGTTTGCAGAACCAATCAAATTCAGGCCGATATCCTACTCAGGTCAGTCCCCAGCCTGGCCGAATCCTCTTCTTTATGTTGTCTGGATTACTTCTCTGTAAGTTTTGGTATGAAATAATGGATGTTGGGAGAGTCATCAGAACCGATGATGTTAGTTCTATTGAATCAGTTCTCCTGAGATTTACCCAGCCTCGTCGTAACATCCCTTAGATCTCGAGTTGTTGCATATTATTATTTTTTTTTTCTTTTTTTCTTTTTGGTTTACAGAGGATCTACTAGATATTAGATTTATGTTTTTTTTTTTTTTTTTCTTTCTACTATTGATTATGCTTCTCTGCGTTCACAACTATGTGTGGCTCATTTCACTTCATCCTTCATTACATCCTTTGCCTGATCTTTTTAGAATAAATGGTCATTGGTTTCGGGTCGTTTATTGATTTGCTATGTGAAGGATTAATTTCTTTTAATAAATAGTATTGAGTTCACAATCCAGATGGTCACAATCTCATAGTGTTTGTTGTGTTGAAGGACCGACACGACCATGAATCAGTTGTGAGAGTATTGAAATCTGGACTGTAACAAAAGATGTTGGGGACATATTGATCGTTAAGACTTATTTCTGAAACCTCTTCAATCACAAAAGAGAATATACATAAATTGTTTGGTAAGAATGTAAGATGATCAAAAAGCTGAATAATTATAAAATTTCAACAAGAAGGAAGAAGAGAGTTGAGGGGTTGTAATGCAAGACTGATAGACAAATAAAACAGGGAGATTGATGGCTAGAATTGACGCTATATTAGGGGAAGATTCAGCAACCTAGAGAGAGGATTAGAGAGAAGAAGGCAAACAGATTACTGGGAGCACAGTAGTCTCCCAACAAAACCAGAGTAAATCATAAAAAAATATAATAAAATGGAAATCAGTAACAAAAATGGCATAAAAAATACAAAAAGAAAATAAAATAAAATAGTGGTGAGTCGAGATATCTTGAGCTGATTTGTGAGTTTGCTTTTTAGGGTAAAGTGATGGGATAAGGAGGGTGAGAATAGAAAGTTGGAATCGGTTAAAGAGAGTTGGGGGGGGGGGGTAATTAATGAATAAATGTATAAATAAGATTCAATCAAAAATTAAATGATGGGCGAAATGAAAAAAAAAAGAAATAAGAATTAACATTGCAAAATAAGGTGGAGATAATAATAATAATAATAATAATAATAATAATAATAATAATAATAATAATAATATGTAATAATAATTTTGATATAGTATTTTCGTTTGTTTGTTATTGATTCTTATTTTATTTACTATATCTTGTTTGTTTGTGCTTGTTGGCATCCCATGTGGGCCCCACCTATTGGACTCAGGAGAGGGGTGCTTAAACCCTTCCCTCTCCCATCCGAGTCTTAGGTTTTGGAGTCACTATTAAAACAAAACGTTTTAAAAATCATTCTTAGAGGTCCCATTACCTCCATTTCCTAATTTGATGGGTGGCAACTCCAATTCTAACCCAAGCGGCAAAAGGAGCTGTTTTTTCTGACAATCACAACACTTATAATTATATATTTACAAGATAAAACCCAATTTGACAATTTTTTAGATTCCTTGGTTGATGATTCATGGTGAGGGAGAGATTGAAGAGAATATTGCCCACAAAATTATAACATAATAGAGAAAATGAAGGGAGGGGGGCTTCTAATGTTCTATGTGATAAGTGAATACCACTTAGATATAAAAGAAAGTTTTATGAAACAATTGCAAAGCTAGATGTAAGAGTACATATCATGTGATTTGATTGGTTAAACCGGACTTAGGTGCCACACCCTTCACTTGATGGGGCATGCCTAGCAGAGACGCATGGGATTGGAAAGGAACACATGCTACATTACTATATCTCTTGCATGTGAAACTGATTAGCATGCCATTGCTTGGTGAGGATATTTAACTCAACAAGTAGTATGCTTTTCACATAAATGTATAAATCAAACATTTAATGAAAGAGATTAAAAGACATCCTAATAAAAGATAACGAGACAATGAGATAAGAAGACATGAGTTTGAGGGGAATTCAAGCTCGATGGTCATATACCATATATAAAAGGATAGCAAAACCCCCAAACAAATAGAAGATATGAACAAACAGAGGATATAAGGATCCCAAGGCCTCCCTCTAGATCTACTCTAATCTCCCTTCAACTTCCTCCTCCCTGCCTCCAAGGTTCCTTTAGCAACCCCAACCTTTAGGGCCACCTCCAATCAATTCCATTAAGAGCTATAAGCCTATAACCCATAACTATTTCAATTACCCTAGCTTCAATTAATCTCAACCTTCTTTTAGGACTGTTCATGAAATCGATTAAAGTGACCACCCCAACCCGAGTTGGTTGGGTTTTAGCTATTTTTGGTCAACTTCGGTTCATGCATTATGTTAACCTTAAAGATTGGGTCAGTTTTGGTGTGCTGTGTGTAAATAACCAAAAACCAACCTGACCCAACTATAGATATATATTAATATTTTTACTTTTTTAATCTCCAAATTTTTAATCTTCAGATTGGGTCAGTTTTGTGCTTAATTTTATTAAGCACAAAATTAAAATAAACCTATGAGAGGGGGACTTAAATATCTTACCCCTCATGAAAATCAATACAAGAAGATCACTAGCTCATATAATACAATTGTGTCCAATGCTCTTTCAAAAATGGATAAAGATTATCTACATATAAGAAAAGGCAAACAAGTTCCTTCATCTCTAACCAACATTTGTATCACTATAGGTAGCTCATCGAAGCTTTAAAAGTGGCATTGAAACCACGATCACAAGCTAACTTTGCTAAGCCATTTGTGACCTTGTTACTCTCATGGTGGTTATGAATGATTTTAACATTGAGACCTGAAATTTTATATAATACATTTTAAGTTTTTTTTTTTCAATATGGGAAAGTGGGAAAGTCCCCATATTTCATAGTTTGAAATAGTTTGCTTTTAAATTTAAATTTTTAGTAATGTCATGGCAATTATAATTTAACTTTGTTTTAATTTTTTTTATCCATCCAAACCACGTTTAATAGTTTTACAAAATAGTTATTAGTTATCTTTTGAACCGACCAACCAAACCAATAAACCAACCCAAAACCGATATGACTCGAGTTGGCCAGTTTTCACTAAATTAAACGGACCCATGAAGCTTCCTTCACAAACTTCCCCAACAAACTAGAAGAAGACCTAACCTCTTTGAGAGTCACTCAGTCAAGACCATTATCCCAACTGGCCCTGAGTCGGTCAATCCTATTCGAAATTGTATGGGTGCTTCACAGAGCATGCCCCATGAATGCCCCACAACACATCCTAACCGTGTATTGGGAACAACTACTAATAATAAGTATGAGAGATGTTCCCAATGCACGTTGAGATGTGCATGTGGGCTCTATGGGGTTCCAATGTGAACTTGTCCTGTCCGACCAACATCTTAAATGTCACATTTAGAGGTAGGGATGCAAATGGATCGGATCATATTCGAATCAAGGTATATCTGAATCCGACCCGATACTATTAAAAGACAAGCTGTTATGATCTTAAGATTTGATCCAATTTAAATTTCTTAAAAAACTAATAAATTATTAAAAGAAAATATAAACATAACAATTTAAAAAAAAGGAATAACGAAAAATACAAGTATATTTTCAACTATTTTCATCATATATATACATGCTTTTTATAAAAAAATAATTAATATAACAAATTTAACAAAAATGTAATATAAATGTTATGTTTATAAATAAATAACATATATGTGTTATATATATTTATATAAATAAATAACATATATATCGTATCGGATAGGGGTGATTCAAATCCCTTGATCAGATTATTGACTAGATCCGAACAGGGGGGAGATTCGAATCCGACAAAATAGGATTGGATCGGACCATGACTCAATCCATTGGCACTCCTATTTAGAGGAGTTCGAATCACCTGCCAACAAAATGCATTCCAACAACCTACTAATGTGGTCTAACACCACATATATCATACATGGCAAGTCCTACTTTTATAGTAGGTCTCAATTTCACAGTGAGATGTGTGACCGGTGTTAGATCAAGTTGGTAGGGGGTTGGGACGCGTTTTGTTGGCAAGAGATCCCAACTCCCTTTGAGGTTGGGCTGCCTTAGTGTACCTCATAGCTTTTTACACTAGGTGGCATTAACCCACTCTAATCATCAAATTCAAGTTTACATTGGCACCCCCATAGGAGTCCCACATGCACATCTCAATGTGCATTGAAAACAAGATCAGATTCAATGCTTACACCTTTCTCACAACCATTTTATAACCGTGCATTAAGAATACATTCGTACTTGTATGCTTTTTCATAGAGAGATGTTCTCGATACAAGGTTGTAAGGGACTGTGCGAACGAATTAGGATCTGCTCCTTACAAAGCACTCCTCACACCGACCTCACAACCACGTCCCACCTCATACAGGGAACATCTTTCCATGAATATTAAATGCAAGTATGGGAAATGTTCCCCATGTGCGGCCAAGACAAGATGTGAGGACCGTGTTTACACAATCTTGCTCATTGGAAACATCTCTCGTACTTGTTAATTAGGGATGTTTCTAATACACAATTTGAGATGTGACGTAGGGTGTGCATGCGACTTCACCCAACTCACAACATTTATTGATGGGTTGGGTTGTGTTTTTTAATATTGGTCAGTTAACCTAATAAGAGTCACTCAGCGGTTTGGGTGGGTTAAGGTCATGAGTTGTCCAATAAGCCCATGTTTGGTTCACTGCCACATGCCTCATTCTTTTAAGGGTAAATTTCTTAAACTACCCTTATGGTTTAGCTAATTGACTAATTATATCCTTACTATTTACATTGTCTTAAAGCACCCCTAAGTATTCTGACAATTATCTAAAACCTCCTTGCCATTAACGCCCGTTAAAAGAAAGATGAAAAAACAATTTTACCCATTATTCTCTTTTAAATTTTCAAAATGAAACATTAATGTCTATTTATCGACGGAATTGTCACTGTAGCCGCCACCATCGTTCATTTGTGGCAACAGTTGGAGTCTTTCTTGACCACCACTCATTCCCCTTGCTGGAGATCACAATAGGAGAACATTGCCTTTGCGAGTTGAGCTACAGGAGTTCATCCGTTGCAAGTTTTTGGAATCTTTCCCTTGCAACTTTCTGTTTTGCCATTTAAGAGGGTTTCTATCAGAGTACCAATATAGGCTTTGATAGGTCCAATCTCGTCGTCGTTGAGTTCAAATCAGCCCCCCACAACACATCCCCGCTGTGTATTGGAAACATCTTCCGATAATATGAAAAATGATGATGTCATCATCTAGAGATGTTCCCAATACACGACGGAGATATACTGTGGGACGTTGTGGGGGGCAATCTTGTGGGAGGCTGATTTGATCTCGTTGTCTTTTGAGAGCATTAAACAACTGGAGTTGTTATACCTCTCAGATGAGAAGTTGACTAGGGAAATCCCTTCAGAATGTAGACATTTACAACAACTTCTTTCTTGGAGAATTTAGGTTTGTACAGGCCACCACTATTGAAAAAATTGCAATGTTTCAAAGAGTTAATTGCCACAAAAACGGTTATCAGAAAAATATGTGGTCAGGTTTGATTGGAATTTATATCAACTGGATTGGGATTTGGAGGAGCCAAAGTGGTTGTTTGGCCCTTAATGTTTTCGAATATGGGAGGGAAATGGTATGACAACTCCTCATTTGGAAGAGGAGGAAGATTGGGATAGGTGGCATGGCCGATTCTGTTTTAAACTAGACATTAGCGGAACGAAGGTCATACAACCCCCAATTGCTGAGCTTGACAGCTCCTCATTAGATTAATGGTGGATGCGTCTCGTATTTTATTGGGGGAAACAAAATGCTCTTGCACTTAACAGAAATGATACACATTATTAAAGATTTCTCCGATAATAATATAACAGAAATGATGAGAGTTTAAAGAATAGATTCTTAAGAGACCAGTATGGTGTTTGGCCTCTCCACAGACAACAAAGAAAAGATACAAGGTTGCAACGGTGATAGCGGAAAAGAACTGGACCTGTGCCAACCGGCTCTCCTGCCATTGCTGAGATATTCACCGTTAGCATCTTAAGTTGGCTACGGAGAAGAACCATAGCTTTCAAAGGTTGCAACAGTGGTGGCGGCTTCTGTGAGAGCCGACTGTGTGCGAAGGAGATAAAGAGAGAGGAGAGAGAACCAATGCATTCAAAGGGTATTTTTGAAATTTTTGTAAGTATCGGTCACATGATGTCATATATGACGGAAAATTAACATATAATAGGGTTTAGACAATTGTCAAAATAATTAGCAGTAATATAAAATGATAATATATATATATATATATATATATATATATAATAAGGATAGAAAATTAACAGAAAAGTACAGATAGGCCCAATGCAGGTTTCCTATTTCCACTACATAGCTATAATATTCAAAGTATCAACAACTCACACTCAGGCACCTACTCCAAGAGTCCTTTGGGCCTATAGATTCTGACCCTCGAATTAATCAATTAACTAAGGGTTTGTTTGGTTTGAGAGAATAGGAGCCTGGAATCGGAATTGGAATGGTCCCTTCCCATTCTGTGCTTGGTTGATTGGAATGGGAACCCCATTCCCATTCTAGGTGAAATGGGTATCCCTCGTATGGGGGAATGGCCATTCTTGACCCCTCCCAGGGAATGTGATTCCTATTCCGGTTTATGATTTTTTTTACGGTAAATTACAAAGACCCCCAATACTATGGAGTATGTGACAAAGACCCTCCTTGTACTATGTCCATGAGACAAAGACCCCCTTCCGTTAGACTTCTGTTAAAATCTGCCGTTACAATATTTTTTAATCCTCATACTACCTTGTAACACTTCATTTTCTTGACCTCACGAACAACATTGGCAGTAGCTGTTGTAGTGGTGGCGAACTTCGGAACCTCCCTCTCTCTCTCTCTCCCTGATGAGGAAGTACAAGTCCTAGCAATCGCGGAAATTGTGAATGGCATGGTGGAGCGCTCGTGCAATGGAGAGAACATGAATTATACAAATTGATGTAAGGACTGCATGCCCCAAAAAATATCCATTGAGTATTAACTAGTCCAAGCAAACTCAGTTCTCTAAGTAACTGTCAGCACATTTAGAAGCTGGAGAGTGGAGGCTAGCAAAATCTATTCATTGCGTTTTTGCAAGAAGCAATGAATCATACACGGCATACAATGCTAGAACAGTTCAAATTCCAGATCAAACAGTTCCCCACATAAGAGATATCACATGCTAGAACAGTTCAAACTCCAAATGCCCTCTTGTAGACTTGAACTCCAGACGTTTACTCTCCTGGGAAAGCATAAATGGAACTCCGAGATCACAAAACTTTGGTAGCTCTGGTGGGATGGCACACCGTATTAATGCCCAATTCAGGTCCTCAAATAATGGATGTTGCTTAATCTCTGCCACCCCTCTCTCTGATCCCAACCGATTCTCTGGATCCTTTACCAACATCCCTCTGACAAGATATTTTGCCTGAAAACTAACCATCGGGCTTTCAGGAAACTTGAGGCTCTATATCACCACATTCGCTAAGGTCTCCTCATTTCCCAAGCCCTTGAAAGGTGTTTTACCAAATAAGAGCTTGTAAAGAAAGATCTCAAATGTCCACCAATCCACAACACTCCCATGACCCTCTCCTTTGATGATCTCAGGAGTTAAGTACTCATGGGTGAGTGGTCCCAACAAAGGAGTTGGACGGACCGAGCAGTGGTTGGCTCTACCACAAGTAGCCTCGGTGAAAAGCATGAAACTTGTGCCAAGGATGGCCGGAGATATAGAAGGGGATTCTGCACATAGACCTGAAAAGTTTTTTGTGGGCTCCACGATTGATGATGAGGATGTAAGAAGAGTAGGATTCATTGCATATCTCAATGACAAATTGAAATCTAAGAGCATGATATGACCATCTCCTCGAACCATAATGTTTTCTGGTTTAAGATCTCGGTATATAACCCCAAGCATGTGTAGATACTCCAATGCAAGGAGAACTTCGGCAACATAGAACCTGCAAAATCATCAAGGAGAATTAGCTTCGACAACATAGAAGCTACGGATTTGAGGGCGTTCAGATCAATGTTCTCTCCTTTGCACAAGCGCTCCACCATGCCATTCACGATCTCTGTGATTGCTCGAACTCGTGCTTCCTCATTGGAGGAGAGAGAGGGAGGACTTTTGAAGTCTGCTGCTGCTGCAACAGTTAAAATATTGCAACGGCGGATTTTAAGGAAAGTCTAACGGAAAGGCCTTTGTCTCACGGATATAGTACAAGGAGAGTCTTTGTAATTTATCCTTTTTTTTTTCATTTTTTTGGACAAAAATGCCCTCCTCATTTTCAATCCAGTCGAAGTGACAAAACAGGAGATTTTTCAACCCAGTCGAAGAGACGAAACAGAGATTGCGAAAACTCCTCCGGCGAACAGAGAGCTGAACCAACCTCCGGCGAGGTAAGAGCACTGCTGAACCATTCTCCTCCACCACCTCCTCCTCCTCCTCCTTCGAAATCAACCGCATGCTCTGATTGAACCAACCTCCGGCGAGGTAAGACCACTGATTGAATCTTCTTCTTCGTCCTCACCGGATACAATCTAAAATGTTCCATCCTAAACCTCGTGCAGAGTCTGCATCTAGAGCACCGATCGCTGCAGTAGTTCAAAGGGAGAGAGAGAGAGAGATTAAGGGCGAGTGATTCAAGATCAAAGCTCGTGTTAAATCTTCCCCTACAACATCCATCGACTCCAAGCCAATATTCTAACAGGCAAGTGCGTTCTACAATATTTCACCATTTTTCTGGTTTCGTTTCTTCCATTTTATATTTATGACTCTCTATTTAAGTTGTTGTCTCGAACCGACTAGGGCCTGAGGGAGAGGGATGGATGATTAGTGTGATTGATGACCTTCTGATATATATATTTTTCTTTCCCTGTTTTCTCTTCCTAAATTTAAATATGATGTCACTAGTCTAGTTGATGGTTATTTCGTCTGAATTATCTGGCCGACAACTGATCTGAACTCTCCGATAAGCAGAGACTTTCTTTGTAGTAGGGAATATAAGAAATAGATAAATTATAAATTATGATTAATAAAAAATGACAAAAAAATAATAATAAAAAGAAAAGGGAATACATTAGAAGAAAAAAAAAGTTTCTCTACAGATTAGAAGTGCTAGTTGTGATTAATTATTCCCCTCCTTTCCATGAGCTTTCAACGACCAATGTGATCCCTTTATCTCACACGCATGCTCCCACCTCCTTTATTTTATAGATGAGAGAGGATGAAAATACCTGCTTCAACAATGCATCAAAGTGGTATAATTCATCAAAAAAAGTATCAAAGTGCTATATCTTTGGGAGCCTGTTAACCATGATTATTACTTGATATACTTGGTAATCAGTCAATGACAGAAGCATGAAAATGCAGTATTATGAAATACTATACCTTGGAACATCAGGTCTGTTAACCATACTTGTTGTGATGCCATGGACATGAGAATTGTCAATCCAGTGGTTTCAATATCAAAAACAAAAATTTGACAAGTTGCTCTAGTACTTTGCTATCTGAAATCTTCTCTTGAATGTCCCAGTATTGAACTCTTTCAAATTCTATCAGGTTTGGCTTATTTATGTTTAACTTAGTTGTTGCTGTAACTTTTCTGTCCAACACTTTGTGCCTGATTTCATATAGTTTACTACTCTGGGTGTTTTCACTTCCTACTTTTATATGTCGCTGCTTCCATCTTCCCCTATATTGTTCCTTTGCAGAAGGTTCATGGGTGCTAGATCCATGCACATAAAAACTACAACTGTTTTCAAGTGTGTAAGTTTGGTACTTCTCTGACCAAAAACGGGCCAAGATCCTTGGTTGAAAGAAAAGACTTTCAATAAAGATGAGACTCTGCACATAGGGTGTTGTAAAAATGAAAAACACATATAACCTGCTCTCATCTGGACTCAAATTAAAACAGAGTAAGCTTGCAACCAATGACACGTCCTGACTCACACAAAGCACTTTATCTTAACCTGAAGAATCAGATAGAAACCATTTTGGTCAGGTGCATTACAAGGAAATATATATTATGTGCATGTATAGCACAAACAACAAATTTAGCTCCATCTCAAGAGAAAACAAACTTCACAATGAATTCAGAAAAGAAACCTGAACTTCTGCATTAACTGTTCAAATGGGAATATCCATTAGTTTATCGTAACCACGACTTAAGAACTCATAAGTTGGCCATAAAGCTGGTTATGAACCTTCAGAATAGCATATCTGCCAGATGTGTACAGGCACCTGCTTACTCATTTTACAGGAGCAACTAAGGTTTAGCATCCTTTGCCATTAGGTGGCAAACTAATCAATGGGTACTTATGCATCATATCTGGTGTGAGAGCAAAATATCCCATTGTTGAATCCATGGGCTATATAATTTTATTTTGAATCTTGTCCAAAATTGAAACATACCAAGTTTGTGGCCTCAATTTTATATGTCAAAGCATGTTATTATGGTACAGGCAGAAATCTTAGTTAATTTACTCTAATGAGATCAAGACCACACAACCTGGGAGGATCTAAGAGGTATATTTTTTATGGAAAGAGATAGTATTATATTGAGAGGAAATTGAAGGGATGAGAGATCCATCGTATGGATGCCCAAATCTTGCGGAATAAGGTGGGCAAATTTCAAAAATTTCTCTCCCTTCAAATGGGAATCGCATTCCCTATTTTGAAAAAATCATATTTTTCAAGGATTAATCTTGAACCATAAATTGAACCAGATCTGAACAAAAGCAGTAGGAGAGAATTATACCTGATACGGAGAAATAATATCTCCCAACGAAAGTGTTCACGCCCAAGGAATGATCCAAAGACTGCTTCCACTGAAGATAGCACAGTGTAGGATGGAGCGGAATCAGCGGTGTTCTCTCCAAGAACCTAATCATTCGCAAGAAATAGCAAGATGGCACGTGAGCACAGCTTTCCACCAGTCCTTTCACAATGAACTGATGTCAAGATCGAATCTTGATTTCTCCCACTGAACTGGAGATCGAACTGGCAGGTGAGGCGGCAATAGGAAGGAGGCGGCAAGAAAGAATTTGGCAGGGTTGCTTAATTCTTCCTTCTGTGATTTCAGCTCTGAAGAGGATGTGAATATATCTCTACTAAAGGCTGCCGCCCCTTTCTTTTATAACCTTAAAGGGATCAACTCCTAATCCCATTAGGAGTTGCTGATCCAAATCATATTTGGATCAGACTTCTCTTTAAAGTGATAAGGGAAAACCCTTATCTTATCTGCAAATTAGATCAACCTTCTCCTAATCTCATTAGGAGGTTTCCAAATCTGAATCACATTCAGATCTGGACTCTCTGAGTGGATAGGGTTAAGACCCTATCTTATCTGCTAATCCAATCCCAGAATTCGCCCCTTATTTAATTGATAAAATCAGCCCAGTTCGAAATGGGCTTTAGGCCCATTAAGGTTATGTGCTCACTTAGCCTTCCAAACTGCTACCCAATTGGGCTTCCTTGTATGGCGTAGGACCCAAACATTGATCTACACATCAGCCACATGGGTTCGGCCCAGCCTTTGTTACAAGGCCTGGCCGAATACACTATTATGGACAGTGCACCCC